ATTTTTAAAAAATTCAAATATTTTTATGTTACAAATACTGTTATTTTTCAAGATGTATCCGACATTTTTTCGAATGGTACCAGGATATCGAAATTTGAATTTGGCTCGCTGCCACCTGGTCCATCAGTTCAACTGGACTCGTGTTGGTACCTTGAAGCAAAGTGATGATCCGCGTTTCGCACTGGTAAGCGTTAATAAATCTAGCAACGGAGAAAAATATGAGCTTGGTAAAGAACCTTTCACATACGGTACTACTATAAGAAATTGGTTAGGGATGTTACTCAGCTCGTCTAGTTCATCATCAGTGTTCGTTCAGTGTGTGTTTTGTAATGTTAATCGCAGTGCCGTTTGGATGAAATATAATCCTCATTCACTGAAGTATCTTCAAATTCAAAATATCGCTTTCTCTGAGATGCGGCAGACATTCGGAGAAACGCGAGTGGTCGCAAGTTTGTAACTGATTTATCTTTCGTGTATTGTTTAGAAGTAAAGTAGTGCGGGATGGCATGTATCAGTATCATTTTACCGTTGGAACGAGAGGAGGAATTTTTTTTGTAGAGAAAATGATTACCCCGCAGGCAGAGCCGAAACCTCGACCTCCCACATCACAGCAATGCTAGTCCCATTGCACCGTGCTTTGTAGAGGGGATCAGTTTAAATTTTTTATATTACGTGCAACGAAGACGTGTTCGGAGGAAGTTTCATTCTCTCTCTTAGCTGCAAATACAGATTTACCAGTACTTATCTTAATTTTTTTAGCAATTTTTTTTCAGAAGACGCTTCACTGAAAAAAATTTATAACTTTTCGGAGCTTTTTGTTTTTTGAAAAGAGTAAATGAGTCGCATAAAAATTGCAAATCAAGAAAATGCCAAGTATTTCATAGAATTTACTTTGTAAAGCCGCACGAATCGTTAACGACTCAACTGGAGCATGGATTTGGCATAAGGGTGGTATACACAGCTGGCATAACGCACGATGAAATTAGGAACATTGGCTACGAACTTAATGAGCTGAAGGTACCGCTTCATTGATTTCGCTATCACTCAAAGCCTGGAGTATTTCACATAAATTCGTGATTTCCAGTTCGCAGAAGACGACTCTTTAAATTTTTTCACAAAAGTTTGTGTGCCATGTGGCATATCTTTTCAAGGAGGTCATTGTGAAAAGAACAACTTCGAAATATTCTAATTTTATAGTGCCTACTACTTAAGCAGTTACATTTAGCTTGCGCTTCTGCAGAAGGAGGAACACCGATGACTTTACCTTGTCAAAGTTGACTATTTCTTGGACAGCTAGCAGAAATGAACATTTTACTTGAAAGGATCGAAACGTTTAAACAGTTGAGCTGAAAAATCTAAGAGCCTGGCTTAGCTGCACCAGGTGTGTGGAGCATTCCAGTAGCATCACTAACATGGATTATCTGGGACTATTTAGGCATTCTTAATGTAAATTCAGGTACGTGATGCCCGCATTTTAATTGGTGATTTTGAAGAATCGTTGGCTGTGCGAATTTTATGCGAAGCATTTCAAAAAGGAATTTATGGCGAAAATTATGCGTGGATTCTACCTGGCTATCACAGAAGTAAGCCGCTTTTTGCAGTATCAAGATTGTACGGGACAGTCAGTGTAGATGGCATATGTTAGCGATATTTTCATCACTTTTTGTTTCACAATTAGATGCCCAAGTGCAAGATTTAGTAATGCGCTATTGCAAATGAATGTAGAACAATATTTAGGTAACTGGTGGCGCGACACATCCGAAGTAAACTGTACGGTGGAGCAACTCGCCGAGGTTGTTGAGGGGCATTTTGCTGTCGAATTTTCACCTTACTCACAACGCTTTGCGCGGCTCACTGTGGCCAATAAAGTAAATGTTCCATAGTCAAATTATCAGGCTGGATATTTAAAAAAAAAAAACAAACCTTTTCAAGGAAATCGAACCAGTGCTTATTGGAGCTTAACATAATTTCGGTGCTCGTCATTAAATTATTAACCGATTTGAAGTTTGAAACTGAATTTTGTAATAGATGCAAATTAAACCTAGAATTCCCAAATTTCAAATGTTGTTTTCAAAAATTCACAATTTCTTTTACTATTTTTACGGGTGTTTCTTACAGCCGTCATTTTTTAAAAATGTGAATCTTATTCTTTTTTTTTTTTTTTGTTATCGATCCTTCCTGTTGTCAGTTTCAGATTTTTTTTGTTGTTTCTGACTTGGTCTTTTATCTTATTGCAAACTTAAATTTTTCTTGTTCTTTATTACATTTTCCTATTTTTTCTTTACGTATGATCTTTTTCCAATTTTTTCTTTGCTCAAATTTGACTTCAAACTATTCTTAAATTTTAAGACCGCTTTTATTTTAAATCAATTGTGGAATTCCAAAATTCTAGACATACTCATTTGCTATTTTTTCTTAGTAGGGAATTGTAAACTGTAAAAAAAAATGTCGTGTTCATACATTATTGTTTATGCACAAAGCCTATCATACAAAAGATAAATCATTCGGAATTTTTTTGCCGAAAATCCTGGTTTCAACCTTTTTTCTCTTACCCTGGAAAAATGGTACTTACGGCACTTACGCCACTTAATGCCTGATTTACTGTGGCAAATGTGCGTGATGGTTTGAAGAAGTGGCAGTAAAACAAGGTCTGCAGACAGTGTTGACGATTCGCTCGGAGCTTGAAGATGGTCGCGGCTCAGCAGCGGAGCGCGTTTTCAAAGGCTATGTCTATGATGGACTGTGGACATTGAGTCTGGCTATTGAAGAGGTCTCTCAGCGACACCAACAGCTGTATGGTACAGTTTGGAATCCCGACTTAGGTGATACGGCGAATTGGACACAAATGAGTGAGGCGCTTCTACAAGCTCTAAGCAGAACGTCATTCATTGGAGTTACTGTTCGTTTTTACGCATTTTATACAAATGCAAAAAAGGATATATATGTGTGTATATGCACTTTTGTTAAACACTTTCAAATCGGCAACAGCTGAAGCCAAGAAGCTAAAATTTATTTAGTGTTTTTCCACTCCAAATGCGATGTTCAACTGCTAAAGCTGTGGTTCTCCTAT